CGGTACCCCCCACTGGAGTGCGGTCGATGCCGAACTGAAATCTTTGATATTGACACAGAAGGTTCTGTCAGAGAGGTAGGACCCAAACCATTTAAGGGCTGACCCTGTGATGCCCACCCACTGCTCCAGTCTAGAAATGAGGATATTGTGGTCGATGGTGTCAAAAGCAGATGTAAGGTCCAATAGGACAAGCAGCACAGAATCACCTGTGTCTGTGGATATGAAAATGTCATTAAAAACCTTCAGTAGAGCAGTTTCAGTGCTATGGAGAGATTTGAAGCCAGATTGGAATAACTCAAGGATAGCGTGATCCCCCAAAAACTGTTTCAACTGAGACTCCACAATTTTTTCCAGTAGTTTAGAGGTGAATGGGAGTCTGGAGACAGGCCGGAAGTTGGACATGACTGAGGGGTCAAGGTTAGGTTTTTTCAGGAGGGGCTGGACAGCAGCATGTTTAAAAGTCTTTGGCACCACACCTGAGGATAAACTGCTATTCAGAATAGTGAGGATAAAAGGACCCAGGGTAGGAAAAACTTCCTTTAGCAGTCGAGGGGGGACCACATCAAAGGGGGAACCAGATGGTTTCATGCTGCACATTACCTGCTCCAGAGAGGACAGAGAGATGGGCTCAAAGTGGTCAAACACAGCCACACACTGAGATGGGATGGACAGATCATGAGCTGGTCACATCATCACAGGAGATGCCTGTGATAGTTTTTTTCACTTTGTAATTGAGTTCACGCCAAGTAGCACGTAATGTCTGGGAGAAAACGACAACGCGCTGAGTCTTCAGACTCAGAGGACACCAATGAGACGAATGTTAGGCGTAATGTCAGCGCACGCCAAAGAAGCCATGAAACTCCCGTATGTGGGACTTCACAACGAGGCCAAGCAAAACGGCGCCTCGTTGGATCCAGAGGGAGATCTCACAGTCCGGCGACTGATGTCACATTACATCAAGTGTGGAAGTAAGTTGACATTGTTTTTTTACGCCATCAATTTGTTTCATTTGTTGAATATGAGGAGTTATTTGTGTTTAGCTTCGCAGAGAAACTGATCAGTAGCGGCTCTTGATTAATTGGTGGGGTGGACATTGACACAGATCCTGGAATTATTATATTTTATATAATATTTTTCTTATGTAGCCTAATGTAATCAGTAACAATATATTATGCAGGTTAAATGCAAATTTATATAAACATAAGCTATAGAGTACGTTGCTATTTACTTTTTATTTTTGCGCGCCGCTTTTTTTCTCCATCTGCGCTGCTGCGGGTTCGAGGTTGTGTCCCGCACACCACGCAAAACACTCTCTAAGTAATGCACACAGAGGTAAAAGCTTTTTCCCTTATGAACCAGGACACGGTGAGATTTAGGCTACTAATTTTAACAGTTTGAAAAAAGATGGACCGCTCTGCGCGCGGAGATGAATTCACTGCCGCAAACGCACATCATTTCTCCGACTGATCGGCACACAGAAAAACACATATTCATCACTTTAGGACCTATTAATTATATTCTGTTGCTTTAGGCATTTATCTTTTACTGTTTTAAACGTTATGAATTTCACAAATTGCGTTGGGATAAACATCCTGGATCGTCTTCCTCACACACACAGCTCCTCGCATCGCATTTGCCCCATCGCTAGCTTCGTTTTCTGTAATGTTTGTTCCAATTTGCTCAGCCATTAACTGAAATGTTGCAAAACAACTGAAAATGTTTCAGGGCTCTGTCCAATGTACACCAAAGGATGGACAAGATGGAGGAGATGATGGCTGCAAAACTGGACGGGCTGACTGAGGCGGTCGCAGAAATAAAAGGCCAATTGGTGGCGGAAGCCTCAACTCGACACACACCCACTTCATCACAACTCATCCCCAAGGCCCTGTCTGTAAGTTATACACTAAGCTGTGTTTTGTTGTACTCAGATTTATTCTGTAGGTCGAAACAGATCTATGATCTGATCACAGTACCACATACAAATGTCAATTAAACAATTAATGATTTAATTACATCAAGGCAAAACAAAAACTTCACCCACAACCTCCTCTTTAAGTGATGGAGAATGATTGAACTGCATCTGCACTTTAAAGAATAGCTTAAGTGGTTATCAAGGTTAAGTATTTTGTTTGAGACACTGTGACACACATTTCCTCTCTCATGAGCTAACTGTTCTCTGTGATATTGTTTTGTTTTGTTTTGCTTTTCTGTTTTTATAGCGGGAGGTAAAAAGGATCCACAGGAGTCTGGAGGACGAACATAAATACAGGGGAAATGAGAGGTAAGATATTACTAACCATGTGTTAGTCTGTCCTCTGATTACAAGGTCGCTGATAAATATTTTTTCCTTCAGAGGGTACAGCAGCATCACTTAGCAGTTATTTATTTCTTGGATCCAAGACCATTTACTGATGCTTTAGTAAAGTGGTTCCCAAACTTTTTCTGCAGCACCCCCTTTTCAATTATAAGAAATATTTTGAGCCCCTCCAACCAGATATGTAAATAATCCATTTTCAAACTCCATTGAAGTTTATTTCACACCTCCACTTATTTTTATCAGTTGAACAAAATTTGTTAGGCTGAAATGACACCTTCAGTCTTTTTGTATTTATGCCCTGACAAAAACCTGTCCTTTTATGATAGCAGTGTCCAAGCATTCATTTTTCTATTAAGTGCCCCACCCCTCTCCCCACTGTAGGAACCACTGCTTTAGTTTAAAAATAATATCACTTTAAAGAACTCCAAAACACATTTTCACTGCAGCTGTTTGATATATCATAGCTTATGTTGCGTGATTCATTTCTGATTTCTGAAATGTAATCTGTAGGTTCACGTCTGAGCACAACAGCGCAGTCACAAGCTCCGTGTCACGGACAGTCATGGATGAGGAGGAATATGATTCATCTTTGATAAGAAGTAAGTTCTGATTTTAAAATTGGTTTTACCAGAGACACAAGGTTCATTTAAGTATAGTTTACCACTGTGAAACAAAAAACACAATCTCAGTCTTCTGTGTAATTCTACAAAAACACTAACACTAAGTGCTGACAAATGACATATGTCACTTTTTGTGTTCATAGGAGCCTGCAACAGATATTTTGAAAATATCAAGAGGGAATCCAAGTTGACCGAGGACAACAAAATGGAAGAGGATCGGAGAGCCAAAGCTCTTAACAACAGAAGGCATAGGGTGAGTAGATCTATCTATCTATCTATCTATCTATCTATCTATCTATCTATCTATCTATCTATCTATCTATCTATCTATCTATCTATCTATCTATCTATCTATCTATCTATCTATCTATCTATCTATCGATCTATCGATCTATCCATCTATCCATCTATCCATCCATCTATCCATCCATC